TCCTGCTGAGGATCCTTCTAGCAGTACTTCCAATCGTCAGGTTGGCATGAAATCAAAACGTGAGGAAGACGATGATGGTACTGAGTGGGAGGAGGCTCCAATTGCAGGTATATTGTAGTCTTTTAATGTGATTTAACTAAAATTTGGATCCTCAAGTTTAAATCCCTAGTGTGTGAAAATATATATGTTTAGCACTCCCTCCCGAGTCCCCACTGCCTTCTAAAAAGATAAAATAAGAAAGGAATAAAATAGTAAAAATTTTGACCATTCATGTGATTGCTTATGAGTTTGACTATATTATTGCTTGGATATTTGTCTCTATTTATTTGTTGACATTATATTCTTAATACACATGATCATCACCCTAGATTTACGTCTAGAGAGCTTTATTTTCTATTTCCCAGTTGTTGTTTGTGTCCACTGATTTATGCACTGGGTGTAATTTTTTTGAAGGCAATGGAAATGAAGGTTACAAGGTCGATTTGAATGTTCAAGCTGAGGAAGTTCCAGCAGATGAGGAGGAGGATGACGATGTTGACTGGGAGGAAGGCTGATGAAAGATAATCCGGTTGGTCAGTGGAAAGTAATGGCCTATTCTGATCTGATTGGCAAAGGCAGGTGCTCATATAATAATACCGCTCCAAATTATGTACCACAAGACTGGAATTAACTGTTCATATATTATTGCTTGGGCATCTTAGTGTGGTTATGCGCCCGTGGGTTCAGATAAGGTGCGCAGTTGACTTTTTGGTTGTTAAACATCAGTTTTCGTCACATATTGGATGAACAACAACAACTTTGAAACTTCGCATGTTATAGCCGTCCAAAAATAGTGTCTCTAACTTTATTTCGTTGTGATCACATTACCATTTACCAATGGATTCCTAGATTTGTGAGTAATGGGCCATCCCAACGTTTTACCTTTGGTGTTGCTCACACGCCAATGAGAAAATTGTGAGCCTTGAACTATATCTCCCCTTGCGATTCCCGACAGGGCCCTTCAATTTGCAAAACTCATCCAAGTGTGTTCGTTGACTGGCATCTTCATTTAAAGTCAAAATTGATATCCCATGAATTTGGGTTTAGCAATTTATTATCCAGTATTTTTAATGTTTATTTAAAAATCACTGACAGATAATTTGTAATCGTACTTTCATTTAAAAGAAAAATAATGTATTTTATTCTAATCCCTTTTTTTTATTTAGATTACCCAACCTCACAAGCATTTGAGTGCAACAATGTTGTTCTCCACATGTTAATAAAAGTATCAAGATTCAAATTGTCGTGCATTTATCTGTGAGCTGTAATAGAGGTAAAAATATGTATGTTCTATTTGGAGGTAACATGTTTCCGTTACTCAAAAGTCAGAGAAAGCTAAAAACAAATTTTAAGACCCACATCCACATGCCCCCAAGTCCATCAGAATGGACATGGGGTGCGAACATTTTATCTATTCATTTAACAGCATAAATCAAACAATATATTTGAAAGAGGACGGGAGGAAGAGTCTAATTGAAGCAAGTGTTTTCAGCTCTCCTATGCAACTTTAGCGTGTTCCGACGAATATATATTTATAATGTAGAGTACAGAAGTGTGAATTGGCATAATATTAACTATAAATATTGATGAAACGTATCTGAATATTTAATGCCAGCTCGTTTATGCTGAAGGTGAGCTAAAGGTCAAATACCAATGAAATATTTAATAGCAATACATATGCTTAAAAATAGAAAATAAAAGGGGGAATTCAAATGTTAGTTAGTGTAAGTTTATTTTCTTTATTTAAAATAAAATATTGGTCAATACCAAAAAAACAAAAATCTTAGTCAAAATAATCTCACAACTCTTTTCTCCATTCTTCTGCCGGTTACTATACAGCATGTTGCCATAACCTGCGTTCAGACGAAGAATATCTTAAAATAGACATTTAACCCATGAAAACGGGAAAAGAGTAGGGAAGACAAATGCAATTAAATTTTGCATTAATAATTTTGTGTTTCCATTTTATCTTTTTACCATTTTCAATTGATTTGTACACAAGTATTCAGTGGGGGTGTCATTGTTTTTATAGATGAGGGTAGAAATTTGGATCTGATGGTTTTGAAAAATTTAAGAAGCCACCCAATTTTACTAGACAAAGTGGCTTTTCGAGACGTCCTCTTACTCTTTCCATCTGTATCATTTTAGGGTATAAATAGCTTTTTAAAAGAGGTCATGGAGCTTCATAATCACTGATAACAATACATAGCAGATCATAAATAAGAGATGCTTGTGTTTGAGGAATAAAAGAAAACTGTAATTTTGCCATAATGTACATATTTATGTCATAAATGATAAACCTTCTACGTACCTTCCACTTTGGCATTGTTGGTACTACATATATTTATACCCGTACCTAAGTACCCCTAGCTACTTACTTCTACTTTGTTGGCCTGGTCTCGTGGTATAGTGCCAATATATAATTGAAGGTTTGACAATCTGCTCTTAATGAGTCTTTGTTCCTTGAACGCAAAGGAAGGTTCATTGGAAGAAGAATGGTCGACAATTCTGCCCCCTCTCCGCATCTACTGGACCTTCCAAATTAACTCTCTCTTTCTCTCTCTCCAATTAATACATAAAAATAATTAGCTATAGTCTAATGGAAGCAAGCACTCCCCATGTCAAGCTTCCTCAGCACCATTTCTTATGCATGCTCACCACCTTCAAGCTGTCAAACCTTCAAAAGTCCTACTTCCTCTTCTTCCTCTAAAACCCCCCATTATTATTTGTCCTCAAACTGTCCTTTTCTCTCCATGCAATCATTCCGATCTCTCTCCACTTTTTCTCACCCATCATGGCCATCATCATAAGATTCCAACATCTACTAAGCTTCATTCTTTGGCTCTTCCTCTTTTCCCTACTCTTTCATGGCTGGTTTGCTTTCAAGTCCAATAATCACAACGCCCTCATCAGCAACAACATGTCTCCAAATAGAAAAATCTTAGCAACAGGCCCTGGATTTGACTTCACCCCATTTCTCCACCGTCACCGCCACCACCACCACCACCCCCGTCACCACCACCGGAGTCACATGCCCCAGCCAAACCAAACCGAGATTGATCCACGTTATGGTGTTGAGAAACGCCTTGTTCCAACCGGTCCAAACCCGTTGCACCATTAATGAGGTTCACTTCACACACTTCTTTTTTGTTTATTAATTCTTCACCGTCATATAATGTAATTTTATGTATTCATAAAAGAACAATTTGTCTAGTTCCAGTAAAAAAATGTTATATATTATACATGATTCCTCTCTTTATAAACTAATAATTTATTGTTATATTATTCATATCAAACATGCGTGTACATCCAGTTCATGTGTGTGATGAATATCATTATCATCATGATTCATCATTCATATATAAATGTATACTACTTCATTGATCTATTTATGCTTTTAATTTAGAATTTGCGCCATAATTGATCCAACGATAACAATTAATTTCCATTAATGTGGTTCGAATTATATATGTAGTTTGGTTTTGATGAAACACGCGCCAATATTATGGCAATTGGCTTAAAGCAAAGCAATGTGCATCGATAATGAGATATGATTAAATACTACGCAGATTGATAGAAGGAAAAAAAAAACACTATATTATGTTTGATTTGTAGTGGTTGTGACGGCACGGCACGTCAAGGAAGAAGAAATTAACAAGATATCTGAAAAGACATGCGTTTAAATATTGGTATTAGTTAAGATAATAAAGGGGTTTGAAAATATACACGTGATCGTGCAGAGATGTTGCTAGAAAAAGGGTTGACTTTAAACTACATATGGGTGAATGAGTGAATGAATGAAGCACACTTGCTCCACATAGATGCTCACGAGTCACGTAGGTATTTGCTGTAATTGTCTTTTGGGCATATGAATGGTTGTTTTGAGTAACATTTAACCATCAAATTGGGACTTTTGAGGGGCTTAATGTCACATTCGATCACTTTCTAATATTTTAATTTGTTTCTTTTCTTGTAATTTCAACACGGGTGGGTATTAGTTTGATCAAGTTTAACTACTTCATTTGCGTCCTCACAATTCAATGTCAGATTTAAAAGGTGAGTGGAGTCGAGAGGCATCCGATGAGTATTGATTCATTTGAAGATAGTGAAATTTGGCCTCTTTTTGGTCTGTTTGGTGGAGTTGTTAATTGTGGCCTTATGGGGTCCCCTTCAAATATGTTCTTTGTGCTTTGATCATGCGTGCCTCCAACTATTGCTAGGTTATGTAGTTGACTCTTAAATAGTGGAAAGTGGAAACTCCACTTTTATTTTATTTTTTTGTGGATGATTTTTATTTTTTTTTGCTTTTATTAATAATTATACAAATACCACGTTATTAAGCCTCGTGTTTGAACGTTCTACGTGTCGAGCCACACATTTTAATAGATTGGTTAAATAAGTTTTGAAAAGTTAATGAAATTAGTTAAAAATTAATTTGAAAGCCTAGTTAAACATACCTATAAGTATTACCAAAAAACCATACTTATAAGTCCTAAGTTAATCTTTATAATACTATTAACTATTAAAGAAAGTTTTGCATTTTTTTTGTCACGCTTTAACCTTCTTTATAGGTCCTTTAACCATGAATTTATGGTCAAATTCAAATAGTAAAATGTAAAATACAAAAAAAAAAGTATTAAAAAAATTCATGCTTTAAGAAGAAAAATAAATAGAAGTAGATTTGCATAAATATGAAAGATTAAGAGTTTGAAAAGGAAAATTAAAGAAGTATATTTAAATAAACGTAAAAGTAAGAGTTTGGAGAAGAAAAAAAAAAAAGAAGAGGGAGTGGGGAGTTGATTGACATTAATATAATAATAATAATAATGAGTTTATCAAAGAAAAAGTAGAGAGAAGGATTGCAAAAATAGAAAGATTTTTAATTTCAAGATGGGAGAACATTACGGAAATGTAAAAGATAAGAATGATAAAAAGTATATATATATATATATATATATATATATATAACTAAAGTGCTAAAATGAAAATATTGAAATTGAAATAGTTGAGTAGATTGTTGTCCCGTATATTTATGTATACGTCAAATATTAGAAATCAATTTTTATTATGTATTAAATACAAATTTTTTTTTCATAATAATATTTTTAAGAGTTTTTTTATTAAATTTTTTTTAATTTTTTTTATCTATTTTGATTTTTAGTTATTATAATTATTTATCAATTAAACAATATAAATTATTTATTATAAATTTAAAATTTAATTTATATATTTGAAATATATATTTATATAAATTTTAAATATAATTTATATATTAAAACATAATATTATTTATACCTATAATTTATTATAAATTTTAGCTATAAATACTAGTATATATAGTTGCTTACATGTTTTAACCATTGCTATAAGGTATAAAATGATACTACTAATAGAAAAAGAATCTTAACTACTTATAAATCAACTTTAATATATTAAACTTTAAAAGTTATTTTGTACAGAGTATTTTTAAAAATTATTCTTCAAAAGAAGAATAATTTTAGAAATTTTCTTAACTTTTTATCTAATTCAATTTCATATTTATTTATGAATGAAAATTTAATATTTTTAAAATAAATTATCAATAAATAAATAAAATTTTGTATAAAAATAAAAATTATTTATTTTAAATTTAAAATATAATTATGAATTTTAAAAAAGGAGGGTTCAAATGACACCAATGTAACTTTTACTAAGTATTTCACCGCTCAATAAGTTTATATTAAATGTGAATTTTATAAATCTAACTGTAAGGTTAAAAGTTCATATCACTCTATATGTATATCAAATTTTATTAAAATTAAACAACAACTTGAATATAATCAAAGTGTTCATATTTTATTATATTTTGAAATATATATTACGTCAATTTTGTTTTATAAGAATGAAGTATCAAATCATCTTGGATTAATATAAAATTTTGTATATATGATCTAAGAGTAAAAACTTTTAATATAACGGTTGGATTTACAAAATTCACATTTAATATAAAATTATTAAGCGGTGTAATACTTAGTAAAAGTTACGCCAGTATCGTTTAAACCTTCCTTATTTAAAAATATTTATACAAATTTTAAATATAATAAATATTCAAATATAATAATCATTTATACACTTTGAGTGTAAAATATGTGCGAAGAGGGGAAGGTTTAT